TAACCCTCTAAAACATTAAGTGGGCTATTTCAGCTGTCAATCAGTTGCTCCCTTCTTACTCCACACATATCATCTTCATTCTCTCTAGGTAAAGAATTTACCCTGGGAACTGGGGGAAAAAAAAAAAAAAAGACATGTGGCTAGGCTGTCTCCCACGTTTTATTAAGCAGGTGTATTCACACGCCTGGCACTATCTATATCACCTGCACCCTAAATTTTCAATACATTGCATTGTTTGTTAAGTGTGAAATTTACTCAAAGGCAAAAAGAAAAAATATTTCTAATATTCATCTTTGGATATTAGCTTCTTAGAAACCCCAAAGGATAATACAATGCCTGAAAGTTCAGATGATAATCAGCCCATTATTATTCCCCTAGAGCTCATTAAAATGGCAGAACATTGTTTCTTGAAAGAGACAGGATGCTGACTAGAGTGCTGATCATACAATATCATCTCCCTCTCTCCCTTTTTTGTCTCCCCTTTCAAAAGGTTGTGGATTCATGGGAAACAGACTACCTTTGGTCACCATTAAGTCAAGCTCACCTCACCTCCTTTCATAACTGTGAAACGAATTTTGAGTGATGCTGATTATAGCAACTGTCGTCTGGCCCTGGTTAAACCTAATTACAATCTCATGTCGGATTGCACTCCATTATTGTTTTCAGGTAATGTGGCCCCTCTCGTTCTCATTCTTTTCAGGCTACAGACATTACAGACATCTCCTTTTTAATGAATAAAATAGTTGGCAGCAGGGCAAGGAGCGGCGGGGGGGGGGGGGGGAGAGAAGGCTACAATCTCAAATGATCTCTTTTGCATTGTAAAAAGATACATGGATTGATAAATATCCTAGGATGTGCCATTATCCATTATTCAGCTGCACAATTAGTGAACACCTGGCATCAGGAAAGTGAGATGGTCGTTTGCTTCCCTTCTGAATTAATGTTGATTGCCCAACAGACCCTGCAGAGCATGCCGATTTCCCTTTTAGAGGGGGCAGGGTGGGTGGGTGGGTGGAGAAGAGGTCTAGAGAGACAAAAAGCTAAATAACAACAAAGTAAGCATTTGATATTTGAAGACAGTGAACTGGAATATTCACCCTGTGTGCATATGATGTACGTGAGTCAAATGGATTATATTTTAACCAGGATTTTTTTTCTCAGTCCTATTTCTTAATCCAGAAATAAAACCATACATGTAAAGAATGCTAACATCTTTCAAAACTGATGGCAATAACATTTTGTGAATTCCAAAGACCGAAAGGCTATTTTCCTCTGTCCTTTCTAATTAATCATTAGAAGCATATATTTAGCAAACTGGAACTGAGTCAGACAGGTCAACCCATCAAGGTTTCCAGGGATTGGTAGTGACTTTCCAAGATCTCAAACTGGAGACCTAACCCCACTACCTGGAGCTAATTTGGACCTTTGGCTTCAATACTGTATAGTTTTATACATTTCATTCATTTAATTGGCAAGATACAATAGATATGGGTGACCAGAATTGAAGATTGCACCCACACGGAGAACAAAAGAATAACTAAAGAATTAGAATTACAGAAAAACATACATTAAAGTTACACTTCCTTGGATTCTGTTATACTCCATGAGTTAAGGGACATAGCTGTCCTTCTCTCCCTCCATTTCTACTTTTGTAGGATAGTTAAGGAAACAATGAGCAGGACAACAGAAAGAGTGAATGAATTCTTCTTAGAAGGGAAAGCATTAGTGGACTATTCAGTCTTACGTTGTATGCTCCACTTTTTAAAATATGCTTTTCAATTTTTTGCAATTCCTTTATTTATAAAACAAAAACTCAAATCTAAGTAACATTTATTCATTCATTGTTCAGCTTTTCTTTCCCTCATGGAATTCAAGATACAAATGGAATGTTGGTGTACTCTCTAGCCATGATTAGATCTTAACTTAAATAAGGGTCTGCCTCCATGTGTCCCATCTAATATCTGTTGTGGCTCTGCAGGCTGGCAATTCTGGAAATGGCAGTCACAGTGCATCTTGAAGAACTGGGCTGGGAAAAAGTTAATTTCTGGTAGCATAACTTTTCGGATTAAAGAGTCTTGCAGTTTGGCCTGAATAGAAATAAAAGACTGGTTCCTTTTATCAATTTCTGCAACATGAGGTGGAGGAAAGCAACTGGTGTTAATAAATTCTTTATCCTTACTGAAGGAAACTGTGAACTGGAGGTCCAAGCACCTGGCTTTTAAAATATTATGTCTAGTTATTAGATCTAGGCTGCAAAAACTTGGATGACCAGTAGAGGGCAGCACAAAATATTCTGTATCTCTGTCATTACACTACCTTATTGCCTAAAATGTAGGTTGCACTTCACAGCTCAGATTCTTAGTTTTAGACCAATTGTGCTAACGTCAAGAGAAAGCGAATACTATCAGTGTTGACTTAGCAAGGTCTAAAGTAGAGGCTTGAAGTCAGAAACAAACTTAAGTATATGTGCACCAAATATTAATTTAAAAATAATTTAGAAGGACTGAACCCCAGGACTGTAGAACACCAGAGACCTAAGTCCTTGGTGATTTTGGATTACGTACAACTATGATTCCAATACTTTCTAATAGGAATTATGAGATTTAACTATGTAGCTTTGGAAAAAAAGTTGGCATGTTGTAGCTATTAGGATTGCCAGATTTGGGGTGCAAAAATTCAGAGGACCCCTAGGTGACAGCAAAAAATTAGGGTAATACAGTATGTATCTCTTTGCTACCCTCTAATGGCCATTCAAGTATGGTAATTCTACAGACATCTCATTGGTCAATACAACCAAAGCAAACTTTACGCATTAAAAATCAACATTAAGCCTTAATCTCAAGTTGTAATCATTGCTCTGCCAGCATTTGAAACTAGACTTCATCAAACTCCAACTATCAAAAAAGAAGAAAATGAAATACCTTCTTCACGTTATTGGAAAAATGTATTTCTTTTATTCTTATTTTTATATTGCAGACAATTACATAGAGATCTTTGCTAAAACTGTATATTTAAGCTTTGTAGAATGACGGAAATGTAGAAGCAAAAGTTTTCGGTCCCAATAAATATTATGAACAGGGCTGTTGTGTAGAAGAACTCCTTTTCTACAACACACCTGTGTTTATGCCCTGGACGTGCATTTTGCCTTTTGTTGATCACAGAGTGGAAACAAGAGAACATATCACTGTAATATTCCCATCATTCTAAAGCCAGTATCGGCACATAGGTAGACATGAACTTACAAACACAAGCACACATTTGATTGTTTGTCTTTCAGGTGAGGTCGTGCTTCACGCATATGCAATTCATTCTTGTTTGTTACACAGTTACCAAGGAAACCATTTTCTTTCAAATAGCAAGTAAATTGCTAAGAAGTACGTCTCATTTTGGCTATAGAAACAGCACGCTCTTATGTATGTAGATCTTTTTTTGGCTCATAGGCATAAACATTTCATTTCAGGAACCCAGTTCTTCACCGAAAGCTAGTCTTCGTGTTTTATATTATTATTTTTTTCTATTCCAGTCAGTGGGGAAGCTAGATTCACTTAACAACTTACTAATTTAACAACTGCAATGATTCACTTAACAACTGAGGCAAGGGAAGGTTGTAAAATGGGGCAAAATTCACTTAACAAGTATCTCACTTAACAACAGAAATGTTGGGCTCCATTGTTGTCATGTTGAGGACTACCTGTATTTCTATTTCTCCTCCCCTCTCCCCCTCCCCTGAAAGGATAGAGTTCAGTGTTTAGCAATATGTCAATGAAGATTCTCAGTCATCTTCAAACTTGGTCCTTTTATGACTTGTGGACTTCAACTCCCAGAATTCCTCAGCCAGTCATAAAAGGGCCAGGTTTGAAGACCCCTGAGGTAGAATCTTCTGAAACTTGAATCATGGCAACTGGGACTTATTTTCTTGTTGGTATGACACGTTTTGTCGCTCATCCAAGCAGCTTCATCAGTCTGAACAAGATGATTAGGCAGAGTCATTGGAATATACCAATTTCTCCAGCACCAATCTCAAAGTTTCTTCCTCAAAACGTGTAGCAATATTCGATAAAGGTTCTGAGCCATCCAGGCAGAGCTGTCTGAAAGTTGAGTCATGACAACTGGACTTCTTTTCTCAAATGTCTCAAACCAGCAAGAAAAGAAGTCCAGTTGCCATGGTTGAGAAACATTGTGCTAGAGTCGTGGAGAAAGGGAAGCACATTGTCTCCGAGTTATTGCTGGACACCTTTTTATCCTGGCTTATATTGAGATCTCATTGCATGTGACTAACTTTTTTCCCCCCTATGGATCAACTAGTAAATGATTTCAGGAAGTGCGCTTGATCTGGTGATCTTGGATCATAGGACAGAAAAAGAGGTTGGAGGACAAAGAATAAAGCCATCATACTGACATAATTAGATTTAGATTTTTTTATTAAGTTTTAGCTATTTGATAACCTCTAAACTATGCAGAAATGGGGAGATTGATGCATCCAGATGAAATGCTGGTGGTTTGAGGAGATTTTAGCCAACATGGTTGATGATTTTTCCAGTCTCTGATATTCTGTAGAATGCAGAAATCTCCAGACATTCTTACGTGTCTTATTTTTGCCACAAAAATCCTAGTTTATTTGAGAGCTAGTGACTACGATACAAGCAAGAATATAGCTAGAGTGGTGTTGAGGGAGAATGTTTTGCCTCTCCAAACTAACGGTAAGAGACTTGGATGATGGTTGTTTCTTTGCTAAATTCTGGTGTTGCTATTGTTCTTTAAAGGCTTACTTGACTTGAAACTGGCTATCTTAAGAATCACCTCCTCCTTGCAGAGAAAAGTAGTTTGAAAACCAGGGCACAACAGTGATTAGGCTATCAGACTACAACTGAGGAAATGTAGGTTTAAACCCACAGTTTCCATGAGATTCTGGTGGGAAGTTCATCCATTATTTTCTCTTAGACCAGCCCAACAGAGTTAAGGAAAAGAAGATTTGAGCTCCTCAAGAAAAAAAGGGGGAATATAAATCAAGGTAAATTATTCTGTGTATATTTTATTTTCATTTTACTTGACTCAAATGGTAAAGAACCAAAATATTTAAACATTGCATATATAGCTTATCTTTCAAAATAAAAGGACTACTCCTGCAAAACATGTCAAAACAGTCTTCATCTGTCTTTCTATGGTATGTCTATGGTTTGGGTCCCAGCATACTCCAAGAAGATTAACTTCCTTTGCTACTACATGTTCCATTGAAAGAACACAAAATATTCAGGTGAGTGTAATTCAACTAGACATGTTTGTGTTTCCAAGATACTTGGGCTGAAAATGCTATATGATGAAAATAATAGGGAATGGTTTTGCTGCTCCATTTTACTGTTTTACAGAAAATTCTAAATGCATTCCCAAAGAGAAATTTTGGTGATAGAGCATATGTTTTGCAGACCCAAGGCCTTATGATTGAATCTTTAAGATTTTTGCTGTGTCATCGCAAATATTATCAAATCTTCAAAACACAGAATCTGAGTTAAAAGGGACTTACAGGTTATATAGCCACTTTGGTCAAGTGGTTAAGACATCAGGCTAGTAACCAGGAGACTGTGAGTTTTAGTCTTGACTTACGCATGCAAGCAGGCTGGGTGACTTTTGGCCAGTTGCTCTTTCTCAGACCAATCCCTTCCCAGAATAGTTGTTGTGAGAAAAATACGAGGAGGAAGGAGTATTAGGTATGTTCAATGCCTTGAGTTATTTATAAAAAAATAATATAAAAATAATAAAGGTGGGATACCTCTGCTCATTGCAAGAATCCATTAAATAATCCTCAGCAGACTGATATCCAGTCCTTGTTTGAAAATTCCCATGGGGCAAAGGTCCTCACAGTTAACACTGTTTAAGCCACACGGATATTCTTCCTAATATTTAGCCTGAATCTCATTTCTTTTAGTCACGACACCTTGGAATCAGTGAGCAGTATCAACAGGGATGGAAGTGTAAACAATGGAAGCCCTAACCACTTCCTGGGGGTGTTGTCATGCTGCATGCACACCTAAAAGGGGCTGAGCTTATAGATACCAAGGGGTTAAATTCTTGCACGTGATTATTTTGCAGATATTTGAAGATTATCATATTTTCTATTAGATCTTTACTTTTGCAAACAAACTAAACATGGCCATATTACTTTCCATAGTTCTCATAATCCTGGCAACTCATTTCTAAGTTTATTCCAGCTTCTCCATGTCACCTTTAAAGTGTTGCCCATAACTGGATATTGTACTCCAAACCTTGTCTAAATCAGTAAGGGTTTTCTGGAATTTTTATTCCCATATATTCTAAAGTTTGCACTTTTTTAATGTGGGCCAACATTGCTATACCACATTGCTTGCTCATGGTTGTTGATTATTTATTAATACTTAGATCCTTCTCACACACATTACTATCAAACAGATCCTCCTCAAATCTGCTCTAGTGCATTCTATTTTTTGGAACCAAGATAGAGGACCTATATTTCTTACAGCCAAACACCATTATGGTCAGCCCATACTGGATAATTATTGTCTAAAGTTATTAACCAACTAATCCGTAGCTGGCTGACCGGCCATACTCAGCGAGTGGTCCTCAATGGAACTGCATCTATATGGAGGGAAGTGTGTAGTGGGGTACCCCAGGGCTCTGTTCTTGGCCCAGTGCTCTTCAACATCTTCATCAACAATTTGGACGAAGGGATAGATGGGGAACTCATCTAATTTGCAGACGACACCAAGCTGGCAGGAATAGCCAACACTCCAGAAGACGGGCTTAAGATACAGAAAGATCTGGACAGACTTGAACACTGGGCACTAACTAACAAAATGAAATTCAGTGGTGAAAAAAGCAAGGTTCTACATTTAGGCAAGAAAAACCAAATGCACAAGTACAGCATAGGTGGCACCATGCTCAATAGTAGTAACTGTGAGAGGGACCTCGGAGTCCTAGTAGACAATCACCTAAATATGATCCAGCAGTGTGCTGCAGCTGCCAAAAAGGCCAACACAGTGCTAGGCTGCATTAACAGCGGGATAGAATCAAGATCACGTGAAGTATTAATACCACTCTTCAATGCCTTGGTAAGGCCACACTTGGAATACTGCATCCAGTTTTGGTCACCACGATGTAAAAAAGATGTTGAGACTCTAGAAAGAGTACAGAGAAGAGCAACAAAGATGATTAGGGGACTGGAGGCTAAAGCATATAAGGAACGTTTGCTAGAATTGGGTATGTCTAGTTTAACGAAGAGAAGGACAAGGGGGGACATGATAGCAGTATTCCAATATCTCAGGGGCTGCCATAAAGAAGAGGGAATTAAGCTATTTTCCAAAGCACCTGAAGGCAGGACAAGAAGCAACAGGTGGAAACTAATCAAGGAGAGAAGCAACCTAGAACTAAGGAGAAACTTCCTGACAGTGAGAACACTTAATCAGTGGACCAGCCTGCCTCCAGAAGCAGTAAATGCTCCAACACTGGAAGTTTTTAAGAAGAGACTGGACAGCCATTTGTCCGAAATGGTGTAGGGTTTCCTGCCTGAACAGGGGGTTGGACTAGATGACCTCCAAGGTCCCTTCCAACTTTACTACTATTATTATTATAACTTCCCTTGCAGCTAAGAATTGTTCCTTCATTCCATCCTCTAGGTCATTTATAAAGTTATTGAATAGCACAGATCTGAAGACAGAGTTCTGGGGGAGTATCAAGAAACTACAGATAATCATTAAAGGATACAGACATAAATATAATCAGCAATCTCTAAAATGACTTATGGGGGGTAAGATATTTTTAAAGTAATTGCTTTCTGATTTGCTTTCTTTCTTACATAGTACAAGTCCTTGAAGTACAAGTAAATTTTAATGACCACCTGAGTCCTCTGACTATAGGTAAGATGTATAATCTCAAACAGTTTAATCAAATAAATTATTTCTTCCTAGATGGGAAAAATAAGTTAGAGATTCTAGGATAAAAGGAACATAAAAAACAAAACAATTCCAAAACCTTACATTTGTTCATAAGAAAAAAAAACTAAAATCACCAACTGGGGAACATCTTCATGTAGGTCAATTGATATATCCACAAAGTCCGTATTTTAGATCCCATTTCAAGTCAGTCATTTTTTGACTGAGGATAAGCAATGGGCTCTCAGCTTGCTTGCTTGCCCTAGTATAGCTCATGCATTCCACTTGCACATATGAAATACAGAATACAGTATAACAGAGTGGAAGGGACCTTGGAGGTATTTTAGGCCAATCCTCTGCCCAAGCAGGAGAGATCCTATAACATTCCAGACAAATTGCTGTCCAATCTCTTCTTAAAAAGCTCCAGTGATGGAGCATCCACAACCTCTGAAGCAGTTCCACTGATTAATTGTTCTCCCTAGCAGGAAATGTTTCCTTAGTTGTAGGTTGAATTTCTCCTTGATACGTTTCCATCCACTACTTCTTGTCTTACCTTCAGGTGCTTTGGATAATACATTGTTCCCCTCTTCTTTGTGAAAGCCTCTCAAATATTGGAAGACTGCTATCATGTCACCCCTAGTCCTTCTCTTTATTAGTCTAGAGTAGACATATTCAGTTCCTGCAAACATTCATTGTATATTTTAGCCTCCAGACCCCTTATCATCTTTGTTGCTCTTCTCTATACTTTTTCTAGAGTCTCAAAATCTTTTTTGTATCATAGTTACCTGAACTGGATGCAGTATTCCAAGTGTGGTCTTACCAAAGCAGTATACAGTGTAGTGGTACTAATACTTCATGTGTGATTGTTTGAAGAATTTCACCTTCCTCATCTCTTTCATCAAGAAATGTTAGCTGTCTCTTCAGCTAACTCTTGTCAAAAGTATTTATGTCATTACTATATTCCCTTTGTGTAGGTTTATAATTGGGATCCCGATGGGCTATGATTTTTGTCACTGTATGGCAATACTAATCTGGACTGAACCTTTGCTGTTAAGCCAATTTAGAGCCTATAGATGACCCAAAGCTTTTTTAACTTATCAGAACTTCCTTTGACCACTCAAGAATCTGCCCAAATGTTTTGTCTCAGAACAAGCAACTTCAACACTGCATCCCTACTTTGCCCAATGAGGCCTGTTGTTTCAGTTTCCTTTGCTTGGACGTCCTTTCTTGAATAACTAATATTAATAAAAGAATTAGGTTAAGAGAAGCAACAGTGACCTTATTTAAATCAGTTGAGAGAAAATATCCACGACTGCAAAGCAAAGGCATCTACAAGACTATAAATCCCTGGGTTGTTGTGAAGGTTGCAGAACTACTCTAATCACTTAATCAAAAGGTAACTAGAGAAATAACTGATGTGTTATTTTGCAGTTTAGATCAGGACACCAATACTTGCCAGTAACAAAACCAATAACATTTTAATTTAAACCTTCTTTATTTGTCTCTTAAGATGTATCTTGCCTCCATTGTAAACTCTCACCCATTTTTAATTTCATTACAGTGGTTGTTTTATATGCCTCATTTGGAATAAATGTACTCAGAGCAGATATAGCCCAATTCCATTTTAATGTGTATTATTTAATTCCTTTGAACAGGTTCTTCTCCAATGGCTAAATATCTGCTCCCTTTGGCACAGTTATTTGTTATCAGTGATCCACCATTTAACCTTCATTAATAAATGTTATAATAATAGATTATTAATTATAATAATATATTAAAAATAAATAAAATAAAATACCCTTTATTCTTTATTCTACATTTTAAATTGGACTGGTAATTTCCCCAACTAAGATAATAGAATTTGTGACATGTTGACATAATCCTGAAATAATTTGAATCCTTTTGATTGTAGATGCATTATGTTGGCCAATAAAAACTCTTTACAAGGAAGAGATTGCATGATCACTAGGTGTTAATTCAATAAGGTGGATGTATGTTGAAAGTTTTTTAAAAGGATATGTATTGGGATGTGTTCTTGAAACTGGATTATGTTTCTCTAAATATTTGCAAGGTGCATCATTAGTCAGATTTCCACAACTAAGCTGAAAAACTATGCTATCTGATGTAGTTAATATCTCAAAAAGCTCAGAAGCCTATTTATATGAACACATTAGCATACCAATACTTTCCATTTTGATATTTTTCCAATCTGCATTTGACTATATAAAGCCTTATATGTCATATGTTTACTATCACAGAAACAGCAGGTCTTTACTTTTCTTGCTTGACAATTCTCAAGTTTTAGCTTAATATAAGATCTATACTATATTATATTCAGAATATAGGAATTAGACTTGAAGAGAATACTAGATCAGTAAACCAGTAAGATGGGTGTATAAGCTAGTTAGCCAGAAGAGACTGTTTAGTGACAGCAAATAAAAAAAAATTACAAATAGCTTTATTTCCTAGATCATAAAAGGAAGTTTTATTATAACTCACAAAATATTCCTTTTGACCTTGACCAGGCATGCTGGCTGAGGAATTCTGGGAGTTGAAGTCCACAAGTCATAAAAGGGCCAAGTTTGAAGACCCCTGTTGTAGATAGTGGGAAATACTTAAACTTCTGCTGCAGGCAATCATGCGGACAGCTAGTTGTTCATCAATGTTATTAGTCCTGACGTGCTGGATTCTGCATAGGAATATAATGCTTGATCTGGATTTCAATATTTTGAGGGCAACTTTTTCACTAAACTTCCAGCCAAAATATGAAAAAGCCAGGCAAATGCAGAAATAATGTGTGACAAGAGAAAAGACCCTTATTAACTGTGTTAAGCTTACATGGCACATGATGTGAGGAAACTATACCTGGAGCAGGTCACAACATTCAGTTGCAGTTAAGCATTTAAGCCATGGCCAAGATTTTAATCCCTGGATATTCATTGGACGGTAATAAGGTAGTACGCTTGATGGTTTAATGGGCTGTTCCTAGGCAGCTGCAAATCCTACTTTTATTTTGTCTTTAAGCAGGTGTGCTGTACTCTGTATTTTTAGAGAGCTATTAAACATATATTATCAAATCTTACAAAACAGAACTTTTACAAAAATAGAATATACAGTAGAATTATTTATTTATTTTTGTAGGCTTACACCATTCCAATCATGTCCGATTCTAAGCTGCTTACATATCTTCAGTGGTAATGAGATTAAAAACTAAAAGACAGAATACAGCAATATAAGCTACTTAAATCCCTAGGAACAACCATAACTCTTACACCCATTTACCAACCAAGAGGGAGAGATACTTGCTGTGATGAAGATTGGAAGTTACTTATTCATATATTTCTTTTCTTTTGCTGTATTATATTCTCTCTTTTCTTTTTTCTTTTCTTGCACTTTTTTCTTTCCATTCTCTAAGTTTGGTTTGCATTAGTTTTTATTATTGGAATTAAAATTCTTAATAAAAAAACCCCAAAGAACTGCTTTATAACTAACGGCATCTAAACCCTTTGTGTATCTTATTCTGCAGAAGGACAGCAACAGAAAAAGCCTTCTCCAAGAATTGGGACCCAGATAAAGAATAGAATAGAATAGAATAGAATAGAATAGAATAGAATAGAATAGAATAGAATAGAATAAAATAGAATAGAATAGAATAGAATAGAACAGAACAGAATAGAATAGAATAGAGCTGGAAGGGACCTTGGAGGTCTTCTAATCCAGACCCCTGCTCAAGCAGGAGAACCTATACCATCTCAGACAGGTGAATATCTTGTTGTTGTTAGTTGCAAAGTCGTGTCCAACCCATCGCGACCCCATGGACAACGTTCCTCCAGGCCTTCTGGAGGTGAATGTCTAGTCTCTTCTTAAAAATCTTCAGTGATAGAGTGCCCACGATTTCTGGGGGTAAGCTGTTCCCCTGGTTGATTGTCTTCACCGTCAGGAAGTTTCTCCTTAATTCCAGGTTGCTTCTCTCTTTGATCAGTTTCCAGCCATTGTTTCTCATCCTTTTCTCTGGTGCTTTGGTGAATAACATGACCCCCTCTGCCTTGTGGCAGCCCCTCAGATACTGGAATACTGCTATCATGTCTCGCCTATTTCTTCTTTTCTTTAGATTAGCCAAACCTAAGTCCTGTAGCCATTCTTCATACGTTTTAAAAGCTTTCTTCTTCCAGATTTCAAAAGGCAGAAACTGCATGATGAAGCTACAGTACTCAGAGCATCTTTTATAAATTAGAACTAAGAGGAGCAAACCTGAGAAATTACTGCTCTCCATTAAAGAGGCATTATTCATCATATTTCCTATGCTTATACCTTTCCCAAAAGGCTTTCTGGACTTTCATCTGCACCAGGCATTCTTTCTTCAGATGGATGTGTTAGACATATTGAAAGCAAATAAAAAAATTAAAATAGGAGTTCTGTAGAACTAACAAAGAGCAGGTTCTTTGCCAGAATGAATGTAGATATTGCATCTATCAAATTTCATGTGATGCCTATAAAAGGAAGTCTTTTCTCAGTACTGCAGTGCATAATGAAAAATATGTGTGGAAGAGAAGCATCCTTGTTGCAACCCCCCCCACACACACACACACTTTAATATTAGCCGCTCAGAGTTGCCTGAACCGCAAGATGAGCGGCAAATAAATTTGATAAATAAATAAAATGTTAGATTACTCTTTTGCTCTATTTTAATGCCTGCATTTAGACTGTTATTCATGAAAACAGCACTGAACTCTCTGAGACCATTCATTGAAGCCCTGTTCATTTCAGTGAAGCAACTAACAGCCTGAATACTGTGGATTCTTAAAATAATTTATTTTAAAAAATGCAATATAAATGTTTAAAAAATAAGATTACAATATCAGTTAATTATGCAGTACAGGTACTGACACAGGTAATTTGTCATTTTACTGAAGTTGTAGAGAGTGTTCCTTTTTTAAGACCTCTTTAGGTAGCAAGCTTCTCTAACACAAATGACTCAGCAAGCAGCTTTATTGTTACCATTGTTTCCTAACACTCAGGGGGCAAATCCAAGCTGAATTCCTATCCCAGCAAAATATTACTGCAGTATACTTTGTTATGTGGAAAAAAGTACAGTATGCTAATATTATGAGTCCTATTGCTACTTGGAAGAGCAATAATGCCCTGCATTAACCCCCTCCCCATCTGCACATCATTTTCCTTTTAATTCTATTCCTATGAAATACTCACTTTGTTTAATCACTAGCAAAATCTTGAATGGTCAAAAATGACTCTGATGGTTTACAATAATTCAGTCCCACAAAAGAAGCCTATGCATTTTACTGTATTCAGAAGACAATCCTACTTTGTCAATGATTCCTATTTCCAATTAATTAAACATAGAAACTTAGCTACAACTGTGTTGAATGATAACTCCTAATATACAGTATAGCACCTGGCTGAAGCTGCTGGAAGTGCTAAATTAGTTTCACAACATCTGGAGAACCTTGGGTTCCTCACTTCCATGTTGTTATATTGTTGTTATAATGTATAACACAACACAGCACTGCAACATGTATCAATTCTGTAAAATACATACAATTACATAGCTGTAATTTTAGTGTTTGTTAACTCCTTTTGAAGGGTAATGTCCATAGAAGCCTCCTCAGTAAGAACAATGATCATAACTCTGACATTAACCTTTGGCTCCCAGAAAAAATAATATAAAAATAAAAGTTCAACAGATTTGGTTACCTACTCTTCAAAATCCTAATGAACTGCTTCTTTGCATTACATAATGCCCTCCTGCTTTAATTACTATTGTCTTTAGAATGTGGACTAATTACTCTAGAAGTATTAATCAGTTGCAGATCCCTTTAGTCCCTGCCCTGTTAACTTTTGTGCTGCAGGACCATAATCTCCATATTGATACAAATACATCCTCCCCTTTAGTTAATTTAAGGAAAACATAGTCAAAGTACTCCAGGTTGAAAGGAATGCTAAATAATTTTAGACTCAAAACTGAAGTGGATTGATTAGGAGCAATTTTGATGTTTTGTACAATAAAAAGATGAGCTACTGGGGTTTGCGGAGCCAATTTGCAGAGCAACCTCTTTCCTCTAATTGCTGCTAGACTAATGTAGAAGCACACTCCTAGGAAGTAGAAAAATCCATTTACCCAACCATGTTATTTAAGTAGGGTACACAAGTAGTGGATTTTTCTATTTACCCTGCCTATTAGTCCAGCTACACTCCACCTGTGACCCTCATTTTATAAGGGCAGCTCTCTTTTATATAATTTTGCAACTATAATAAAGGCCCACTTAAAAAAATTTTCAGAGCAGACCAAGAACATTTTTTAAGGAGAAAAAAACATAATTAGGGTCCTAACCAATCTCACTAATTCCTGGTAATGCATTGTGGAACCAAATTGTTTGATAAAAGGTCTAATAAATCCACATCTTTGGGAACAGAAAATAGCATTTCATCTATTATAAGAGCACAGCGATGACCCATGGCGGATGCTGGTTTGACATTAGTATTGCATCTTTCCTTGAATAGAGTGATGACTTGCTAAAGGAAAACAGCAGAGGGGTGAGATTAGAGATGGCACCAGAGTAAGCTATAGCCCATTGCATAGAAAGGGAGCTACATTCATCTCAGTGATGCTAACTTATAAATAAGCACATAAGAGAGCTTATAATCTCATCTTTACATCCCCATCTTGCAAATACATCACAGCCACCATTTTTATGAGATGTTTTCATGTCATTGCCTTAACTCTCATCTCCAGTCCCCAGCTGAGACAACTTAAAATCATCTTTGGCTGTTTCAGCATTAAATAGTGTTTTGCCTCTTATCCGAACACAATTTCTGCTAGTCATGAGCTACTTGTTTCAGTGGTGATACGGTTGGTAATGTGCTCATGACTGGGATTTTTTTTTTTTTAAGAAAAAAATCTGCCTGGGAATTTACTTTAATTAATAATTATATAATTAGATTTTTTTTTCTCACACAAAATAGGCATAAAAGCATTCTTACAGCACTTAAAAATGCATTTTATGAGCCAGTCTGGGTTATCTTCAATAACAAGGCAGAGGTTGAGTAAACCTGCGTGCATCAAAGTGGTCATTCTAGCTCTAAGACTATCCATTAGACTGGACTTGGAAAAGTAACAGAGGGAAGAAAAATTTTGTAAAACAAGGTGGATGGTCCATAACCTAAAAGCTACAACTCTCATGTTCCAGTTTGCAAACCTCAGAGCTGAGCTTGACCCTGATGAGCTAAAATGGCCAATTTTCAGCAGCAGAAATTTTAGTGAAGATTTGCTAAGGTAAGACTGAAACCTTCCAATATATAGTATATTATGTACAATATGAAGCAGATATACAATATATAGTATGTATATGTCCTTCAAAGGCCATAGAGGCTACTACTGATACAGTGATGTAATCAGGGAATGCAGATCCCTGATTGAGAAACAATGGCTGCTGTTTTAATTCAGACCAAATTAAAATGATAATGCAACAAATGTTAAGTACTGTACCTTTAACATATGGTGAATATTTTTTAGCAAGTGCCACTTTTGTGTTTGGGTTTCTGCAGGACTGAGACAAATGTTTTTCTCTGTTGATTTTTGAAGTCCGTCAGGATGTGGAGAAACCTAATACACTGAATTTAATTTTGTTTTATTAACTTGAATGAAATAACTTCTAGAATTTAATTTTGTTTTATTAACTTGAATGAAAATCAAGATGCTTGTTTCAGTTAGTAAACTAAATTAAGTCTTCAGGTTCAATTCACAATGTCTAACAAAAAGAAAAATACAAAGTGTACATTTCTGGATCCATCTTTCCTTTGTAATTTCCTCCAATCCACAGACTCTGGTGGCGTACAGTTAAACATGAAAAACTATTTAAAACTAACAACCCATCCCAAAGCCAAGCATCTCTAAACAATCTTCAAGGATTAATAACCTAATACAGGGGTAGGCAACCTTGGCTCTTTTATGATTTGTGGGCTTCAACTCCCAGAATTCCTGAGCCAGCATAATAACCTAGTACAGGGGTAGGCAACCTTGGCTCTTTTATGACTCCTGGACTTCAACTCCCAGAATTCCTGAGCCAGCCAGTCATAAAAGAGCCAAGGTTGCCTACCCCTGACCTAGTGGAACAAGGGTTGTTTTAATGGTCTTATGAAAAACATCTGAGAAAAAGGAGCTATATAAAACTCTGGAGGCAGAGAATTTCATATCAAGGAGATCACAAAGTCCTGCTGCCTGATTCAACTCCTCCAACCTCACCTAAATGCAGGGAAGTCTCAGCAGGCCTTCACAAGCTGTTGCTACAAGTTGGGTAGATTCTGTTCTGACAAGGTGGCGCTTGATGTAACCTGGTGCCATTCTATGTATTGTTTGTAGGTGATGACATCACTTTGATTGAGCCTGGAAACCTACTGGAAACCAATCCAATAATTTAAGTGGGGTTATTTTGCAAGGGTGAAGTTGACACACCGACAATCCAGCTGCCACACACTGGATCAACTGCAACTTTCAGGTCATCTTTAAAGGCTGTCCCGCATAGAGAACATGACAGTAATCCAATCAAGTGATAATCAGGGCATGAGTTGTCATTGCCAAGCCATCACAATTTGGAAGAAGCATAAATTTCTCATTAACTTTCAGTTTTCAGTATATACTAAAATTGCCATCTCCATCCTCCGGAAGGTTTCTGACTTTTGTCATATCTATGTCTATGTACTGGATAAAGCCGATACATCTTTTCTAACAACATAAAATGCTGAATTCTACTTTATCATACAAGTGCTAAAGAACAAGAGCATTGCCACTGACAAAAGCAAACCCTGGCAACATGAATGCCAGCCCATTCTTTCAAAACTCAGAGGAAAGGACGTCCATATGTGTCTAGTTTGAACAGCTAGAGGCAGGTCTAGGCACCTGTTAAAGAAGCTGCAGTTTTTGAGGGAGGTTGAGAAAAGCAACTCTTGTTGCAAAAAAATCTTTTGAATAACATGATAAAATATCTTGCTGGATAGATTTCGCAACTCTTTGGTCACTGGTGTTTATCTCTTTCCTTATTCTAGCTTGCAGGCACTGAGTTAGGGAATTTCTCAGTTAAAACAAGAGATGTGCAGTCTTTTCAGGCCTAGAGTTATATTTGGTATTTGACTTAACATGCTGAGGGCTGCACTTGAAAAAATACATGTAGCTGAGACAAAGTGAAATAGATCAGGACACAAAATAAATTTGGCTTAATTTAATATTACAGTAGGTTTAATAAAAGCATTCTTCCTTCCCACGTGGTTAGTAATTTTCTCTTAATTACAAATCAACTTTGGGAAGAGATCCTTCACAAGATCCTGATGGCCACCAATAGCTAGGCCTACAGATCAGATTTTATCAGACCAAGATTATGCATGGTAAACTTTGTTTTACTGTGCTTTTGGGGGCGCTTTTTACAACCTGCATCATGTGGACTGGAGTGCAGACATATATCTGCCTATTCCCCTTAGATCTGATGTGTGTTTACCTTGTGTTTCCCTATTGCAGTAAATATGGCAGAGTATTATCTATTTGGCATCTTTTTAAGAATTGGGGCCAGGAGAGACAAATTTATAATGCTTTAAAAATGGAATATGCAAAGAGATCTTTTACAACAGATAATTTGTGGAAAATTATACTAACACCTTGGCAAACAATCTGCAGTTTGGATGTTACTGAGCTAAAGTCTATGCTTCTCTCGATATAGGTTACACTGGCGAGGGAGCTAGGCTGTTACAGCTTGACTCTGAAGTGCCACAATACGCCTAAGTTGAACTAATTTGGTACACGTTATCACAGGGGTCCCCAACCCCCAGTCCATGGACCAGTACCAGGCCATGGCATGACAGCAACCGGTCCACACAAACAAGCAAAGCCCCATCTGCGAGATGCACACGAAACCACGCACCCTCCGGTCCATGGAAAAACCTCTCTGGTCCCTGGTGCCCAAAAGGTTGGGGACCTCTGTGTTATCAAACAAAAAGGGAATAAACATATGTTTGGTAGAAAAATATTGCACTGAGATTCCAAAAGCCTTTGGCCAGACTTAAAAATTTTCCAAATAGTGATTATTCAGCATAGTATAGGTTAGTACAATATAGAAATAACTGTAGTTAAGATTGGCAGAAAATAGTGTGTGAAAAATGTCCACAACACTGGTAAACAAAATAGCAAACCTAACCTTAATTGTATTTTACTAGATTTTTTTTGCTAATTAAGAATACATAAACAAGTTTATATTTTGTTTACCTTTAAAATATATTTTGAATTATTTATTGTAGGATTAATTTCATGCTGCATGCCACTCTTCTAGCGTGCATTATATATATTCACATCATTTCACTTTCCCAGCAGTATAATATCTTTCTAATGTTGGTGTATTTTGTTTATTTTGCCTATAAAACCCCTTCTCGCAGACCCAGGAGGCAATATTCTATGTTGACCTTGGCATTTATACATGTTAGTAATGTATTCTGAGAACTCATTATGACCCATGTTTAGAAAAATCTCATTTTAAGTGGTATAGATGTTAAGCAACTTTTCAATTTAATTAGAATCCTCTACTGCATTTCATTAGAAGGTTATTCAGTAATTACTTAGCAGGTCTTGAATGCTTACAAATGAAGTAGTGACAGGACATAATACTCCTAAATTATAACTGCACAGCAGGAGAAGACGCTGAAAAAAAGAGGAATAAATTCATAGTTTTAAAAACAGAATGTGAAAATTCAGTATAGTTTCCTTATCCTGTAAATAGGTTTCTGCATTATTTATCAAGTCCTATTCCTAACAGTGTGACTGCCATCTAGTTAGGCTGTTCTGGAGCTAATCTAGATCTGGAATCAAGTGAGAATTTAGCATATGGATTTTTCCTGTTATTATAGCATCTGGAAAGCATGACAGATAGTTAATTCCCAAATCCTCATTTTTGTGCCCTTTATGGCTTTATGTCTTAAATGTACAAAGCATTTTTAAAAGTAATATGCCATCTTTCTTCCTATGACTTCTTTTTCCTTCATTGAGCTAGGAATGTACCTGTTGGAGTAAAGCTTTCATCTTTGATTTCAGTGAGAGAAGTTGGTTGCAAACAGAAAAACAGTATTTCCGTTGATACGTATAAAATTACCAGACATGCATAAAATACATTTAACTTTTTAATGTTATGGTTTTATGATGCTGCAATAAGATTTTTTTTAAATGTATTTCACATTTATTAGATAAAATGTAGAACAGAGTCCACAAATATTTGTTGGGGAAACTAGCTCAATCGTTAGTAAAAGTTGTATTTCAAGGACCATAAATTTAGTTCTTCGTTAACTATGAAAATTGGGACTGGAATTTCCATTGCAGTTGTAAAAGGTGAAATCACGTGCATACATTACTTAACGACAGCAATCCTGGCAATATCTGTTGCTGTCGTTAAGCAAGATTCACAGGACATTAAGCAAGGACCTACTCACAACTTTCCGCCAGTTTCCAACAAGCATAATCAGTGTGGAACCAGCACACCCCAGGCAGCTGGCAAAAAGGCTGGCAGGCAAGCAGCTACTTCAAGATAGGGGGCATGTGCAAAGGGCTGGTGCAGGGTAAGCAGTATGGCTTGGGGTGTCTGCTGCTGGCTGGGGGAAGATATATGAGCGTGTGCAAAGAGATGGTGTGGTGTGAGCAGTGTGGAATGAGATGGCTGCTTTCAGGTGTGAGACTTATCTGAGCAACTTGAAACCTTTCTTGCTGACTTCTCCCTTGATGTTTTTGTGGAAAGCCATCATGGAAGATTGCATCTGGCAATCATATGACCATGGGATGCTGCAACCGTTAGGTGTGAGCTAGGTACTCAGCACTCAAAGATTGCAATCACACAACTACTGTGATGCTAGGACAGCCAGAACTTTGAGGACCGGTCCTAAGTACCACTCATTCAACACCACTGTAACTTCGAACAAATGTTCATTAACTGAGGATGCTTGTGCACAGCAGAACAGATTAAAAAGATCTAGATATCCTGGTAGAGCACAAACTGAACATGAACAAATATTATGATACAACTACAAAAAAACCTGTGTTGTATTAGAAATAACTATCAAGATTAAGATAAACTTTCAAATCTTTCCATTATGGATTGGTACAATTCTAGGCTCTACATTTTAAGAAAAATATTGTTTAATTGAGGTATCTCCAACCACAATGATAAAGGCTTGGAAGATAAAGTTTATGAGGAAAGTTAGAATAATATATTTAGCCTGGAGGAGACTGTACCGAGACATGATAGCTGTTTTCAAGTACCTGAAAAGGTCCTATATAGAAGCTGGAATCAAAGCGCTCAGAGTTCTCCCAGTAGATGGAAGAAACAATGGATTTAAATTAGATAATTGGTTACCAGGCAAAAAACAACAGTACAGTTCTGCAACAGTGGAACAGACTGTTTCTGGATATGTTTAAACAAAGGTTTAATTGCCTTTTTCACAGGCGCTATAAGATTATATTGAGCAAGATGTAAATGATCCCCAAGCTGCATTCCATTCTTTTCTGATTCTTTGCAATATATCAAGTACTTGTATTACTGAAGATCACTCTTAATACCATATTTGTGCATTTGTATAGGGACGATTCTTAATAGTGTATTTTCTTACACTACTGCTGTTTCTAAATATGCATTTAAATTACTGCAAACCAAAGACACTTTAGTATTTAACTTGAACTAGGAGAATAAAGAGCCTTATTTCTGTTATAATCATTCTTTATTTAAATTTATTGACCACCCAACTCCAGTGTACTTTAGGTGGCATACAACAATAGAAATAACATAAAAACAACTAAACATTAAGCCAGACATCCCAAACTAAAACACTCTAATAAACAATAAAATGAACAAAATAAGCTATTTCTAATACTTAAACATTTAGTATGCATGAATGTGCAGCCCTTATATTCTGGCCATTTACTGGGCTAAATAAAATGTGGTAATTCTTTAATTTTTTTCCTTACAGATTATTAAGATAATGTAGCACCTGAAAAATATGCGTAACAAACTGTATGTGTAGAATCACCATCCTCAAAACAGTTTGATACAGACAGTTGCAAATGAACAGCTCACTAGTTTCAACATGAATCATCTCCTCAGTGATAGCAATTCTTCTACCCTGCCTCCTTTAAACTTCAGAGGAAGAATCCTCAGGTCTAGACTGGTTTCCAGAATTTTTACCAGTTAGTGTCCCCCATTATGCAGTATACAATGGTTAACATCCTGCTAAAATTTAACATCTATACTTGAACAAAGTACATGTGGTCTGGCTAATACTAAATATTCTATTCCATTTCAAAATTAACCTGAGAGGGAATAATTTTGTTTCGATTGCAGTAAGAAATATATTATTTTGAACTCTCCTAAGTAAGCTGTTATTTTTCAGCCTCATTATATAACTTTGGGAAACTGAGATACATTCTAATCTTTTAACATACTTTACATGTCCTTCAAGAGCAAATTATCTAGAATTCTAAGAATTTTTTTCAAGAGTTCCAGTGACTTTTTTCAAGTGTACTTTGCAATTGTACTTAAAAAAAAAAATCAGTAGGACGATTCTCCAATTTCATTAGTTACTGAAGAGTTCTGTTTTGCTTTAATAATAATAGCATTAATGGAAAGTTTCACCAGCTGGTAGTCCCCACTATGTAATTGGATGTCCTTTAAAATTTTATGTCCATACATGGAATGAAAGCATTAATGAAAATTTTCACAATTGTCATTTTTTCCTTCCCCATCAGTTTGCTAGATTTAAAACATTTTGTTATATCTAAAAAATCATTAAAAAGCATTGGGGTTAATATTTAATGAAAATAGGCAACAGAAAATTAATTATGTAACCTTTCCCAATCATGCATGTTCCGAAAGGGTTAGGAGTACAACTACCAGGAAGTTGTGATGCATATATAATGTAAAACACTGTTTTCCTTAATCTTGACTAAACATAGATCCAACCCATGGAAAAGAACATCCTAGGCAATGGACATCTAGTCTCTATTTAACCCTATCCCCAATTCTTTATCCTAAAACTGCAGTCCTATCCCATTTAAATGGAAGTCCTGTTGTACTCCTACATGAGAACTACCGTGAATAAAAATGGAAAGGAATGCATGACATTGCTGAGGATAGCTTTTATTTTAACTCCCTATTAGTCAAGATACAACAAATATACTAACTTTAGGAGAAAATAATTTATATCATTTTTTTTTAAAAAAAACTATTGCAAAGAGAAATCAAGTCTACACTTAAAGTGCAAATAATTTATTAGATAGCAAATTGCTAGAAAAACATTCTCCTTTTTATAAAGCTTCCAAAAAAAGCATAATAAATATTTTATACTAACTGTAGCACATCAAATCTAAAAACATCTCTTCTTATCTTTGTTTTCTTCCTTATAAATACTCAGCCAGCTCTCATGTCTAATTATTCTCACCCTCTCCGCTGACCCTGCAGCTGGCTCATTTATCACATTCTTTGTTGGAGACATCCTGTCAGATAACAGGTTAAAATGGCTTCCCTCTGATTTATTCATAAATCACCTCCATGCTACTTCGAATAAATGTTATTTCTAAAGATTTGTGTGAATTCCTAAATACAATGTATATACTGTACATAAGTGACTGAGCTATCAAATTTCCTAACTTGAAAAATTGGGGCAATATTTTAATATTTAAGTTTTCAAAATGTGTTGGACACAAATGTCATGTCAATATTGTAAAACTGGAAAAAATCACAAACAGAAGACTGACTTGTTCATTCCAAATACATATATTTCATTTTACTCATTGTAAGAGTACAAAGGATAAAAAACTCTAGAAATAAGTTCTTGATTTTATTTTTCCCATATTTAAAAAATATTATTGAGGAAATATTTAAAACACATCAACCATTGCTAAAACAAATACATATGTTGAGTGAATTAAAGAGATGTGCTAATATTAAAATATTTCTCCATTCTCCAAGTCTGAATTCAAATAGTAATACCATAATCAACACCTAGTCTATGATACAAGTTTTTCTTAAAATTATAACCTGCTGGCTAAATGTTAAATATATAACCGTCTTTTTAAGTGATTCAAATTACTTATATTAATATCTTGCAAAACTATAACTGTTCCTTTTGTCTGGCAAACATTAAATTCAATAGTCATCAAGCAACAGAGGTCTATTAGTTCTTGTTGGCAATTCTGTAATCCCTCCTTAAGCTTTGGGTACAGGACAGGATCTTTCCTCAGTTGCTTCATTTCAGGCACAGAAAAGCCAATTAAGCTTGTAAGAATCTCATCAGCGAATTCAACTTCTAGATAAGCAGTGCCATCAGATATTTTTGCTGTTACACTCCAGAAGCCATTACTGCTTGTAAGCTTTCCTGTAAGAGTTACTATGAATGCTTTAATTTTCACAGTAGTATTATCTCTGCAGTTGCTACTTAACAGAATAGATAGATACGTAAAAGGAGGGGTATCCAAATCAACTTTGTGACACTTATTTATTTTTATCATCTGTACCTGCTCAGAACACGATCTGAATTCTGCATTGACATCTCCATCATTAGAGATTTTAGAGGATTTCTTACTGTCATCTAAATTCTGGATATATTGTTTTTTATGATTTATAGTAAAGTCTGTCATGCTTTCTTCAAATGTATTATACCTTCCTCTTTCACTAGATTTTTTTTCTTGAACAGCTTGATTATTTATACTAATATTAGTGTTCAGAACATGTATCTGTTCCTGCTGGATCTCTTCTATTAAAAGTAAATCATCATCCATTGAAAATCCATCAAAATCACCTTCCATATTTTCTAGAACTGAAACAGTTTGTTGTTCTTCATTTCTTGAAATTAACTCTGCAGATCTTTGTTGTAAGCTGTTCCCAAAGCTCTGAGGAAGAGAAGACACAGTAGAATTTAAACTGATACTTCTTGTACAGTATCCACTTTCAGGAGGATCTTCATGTGTCCTTAATTCACCATTTTCTTCAAGACTTGCCAGAAGCTCTTCATCAGAAAGCCCTAACTCATCATTAGGCCTTGCAATTTCACTTTCGCCAATATCAGACCTGACAATGTTAGGACTGCAGTCTTCTTCTCCAATTAACCCAGCAAGCACTCTCTCCAAAGCAAATGTCTTTAGAAGGCTATCAACTTCACCTCCCAATAATTTCACATTTTCTGGTTTAAGCAAAAGAACACCTAAACGAAATGCAACTTTCCCTTGTATCATAACTTTGGTGCCTGGAGGTAGACCACTATGGAGTTGAGGAATAGGTTGATATTCCATACCTTGGATATGATGTATGCCATCAGTCATTTGTAGCACAAGCATTCGAGTAGGATTTTCTTCCCATGACCTCAAGGTCCTCTGTGTATTAGCAGTTATTTCCTCATTTACAGTGTTTTTTCGTCTTATTTTTTGCAACTGGGAATAAGCAGGCTGACTCACATCAACAACTGAATCAATTTGCACAGAATAAAAGCCAATCAATTCTCCTTTTGGATCATTTAAAATGAATTCAGGCAGAACAGGATATTCAAGATCTCGGAGATCTGTAAGAAGCCACTGCTCAAAAACTTGCTTGTTAATAGCAGCCTGAGCCAAATTGCTTCCATGATGTTCTTTTCCAATCCAATCAATACAAGCTTCTAGCCATCGTGTTGGCACTTTCACATGCCAGGTAGATAAGAGCCAAGTTTCCACTCTTAATGCAACACCTGATGTGGTCATTTTCTTCTAAAATGAAAAGGGGAAAAAAGCATTTTTTAAAAAAACATTAGCATTATATAAATCTTTGGGGAGGGATGTTGGCCGTTCCTGTGGGTGAGTTTCATCTTATTCTGACTCTCTTATTGTTGATTCTCCTAAATTAAAGAGCATGACAGAGATTATTCCTTTATGAAGGAAAGCAATAGAATGCTGTCCCATTAATACATTCATTTATCACGAGGCTTGCTATTAATAAAATACGCATAGAAACGCGCAGTAAACGTTGCAATCCAAACATATTCACAGAACACAATAGGATAACCTCTAAAAACCACACTTGAGGCTAAACTGCACGGTTATTGTCCAGTTAAAAATGTGCAAATCAATACAATTTTAGCTATAGGTAAACCAAGTGGGTTTTTCGGGCTTCTCCCAGATTCCCCCTCCCTTCCCTCAACGCTGATTGATCTGGTGTTTTGGTGAGAAACCCGAAGACTTTCTCTTCTCTTACCACTTCTGCAAGAAGAACACGCCCATATAACCCTAAGGCCCCAGCCCCACGAGCAGGACACCGGGCTCCCTTTCGGTCCCCACAGCACTGACGCCCGAACCTCCCCACTTCTCCCGCCTCCTTTTGTTTTAAGCGCCAAAGTGGACCGAGAACCAAACTTCCTCAGCTCTCGCGAGAATTCCTCCTCCTGTCCATTATCGACAGTGAGGACGAGGCGGAGTTTTCATCGACGCCATTTTGTTTTTCCCTCGCACGCACTGGTTATGGTCAATTTCGCTCTCCTTGAAGCATCGGTAAAGTGGTTGGGATCGATTTCTTTTTTTTAACGTTCCTTTCCCCCCCACCCCACAGTAAGTACCCACTCTCTAAACAGGGGCGAAACAGAAAAGATAGGTAGAAGGAGCGATATATATATAGGGAGATATATATACTGGTACGTTACAACGTCAACCGGTTTAACGGCCTGAAGCAGAATTAGCGGTAGCAGCGAGCCGAAGGTTACCACGGAGGGCGGGAGTGATACTCATGGTGTCCCCAGGTAAAGATCGACACCTATGACAGCCAATAAGGATGCAGGGGCGCAGCAGGCGAGCGAATAGGAGCGATAGTAGCGCGGGTGAGTGCGCGCGCTCTTGCTTTTTGAGCGCTTAGCGTACTCAGGAGGCAGCTTGGGCGGCGTTAATCCGCTGCATGGTGAGGAAACCGGCGAGCTTACCGGAAGGCTTTTTCTGAACCGTTAACGCCCTTCCACCTTTTCTTGGTGGGAACTATATATGTAGTATCCTCATACTCAGGCCTACGAAATTACCGGTACGTGTTTAAAATGGGCAAATGTCTTCGGTTGAGGGGGTGGGCCAGCGTGTTACTGCAACACGGCGAGAGAGGCGGTTTTTCGGTCGGTGCTATCCTATAACCCTCCACCGCAGATAATGAGTGCCGCATGGCTGGCAGGAAGGTGACGGGCTTGAGCCCGGGAGTCCCCAGTGCCTGCCGCAGGAATCATGGCGGCTGGTTGTAGTTGGGAGGGGCGAAGAGAAAAGTGAGCCAGGCGTTTCCTTTTCTCGGTGGCCCTGTCGGTTGGGACTGACCTCGGTAGGCCCCAGCACCCGCTTCGCCTTCCCTGAAAAAAAAAAAAAATCGGCAAAGAGGTTCCAGGCATCTTTTGTGTGTCTTGAGCCGGCGAATCCCGTGTTCTGGAGCTGCCGCGTGGCGATCTTCTTCCGCTCAGGACTCCTCCTGGCAGCTCGTGATCGCCATTACTGCTCGAGCCTGGCGTTAAAGCCGCCATTTTTACTTGCATTTCATCCAGGGTAGTCGGGATTGCACAATTAATGGTCGCGGCGAGGCTTCACCTTTTCTTATCATCCTGGTCCCATTTCGGGAAGGAAGGGAATCGTTTCGGATAAGGTGATTAAATCGAGCCCGCCTTGTCAGAACCAGAAACAAGCTGCTGGCTCCTGCTGTCCATCCTGCTCGCAACTCGCGCGATTGAGATAGAGCTGGGAATGTATTTTGAACAGAGCATTGCTCTATAGCCAAGGCTCCTTTTCTTCGCCTAAAAACGGGGCTACAGTTAATCTTGTTTGATGCATCCTCTCTAATATAGATGTTAGTCCTGTCAATTACTAAAAGGGCTGTAAATAGTATTCCCCCCCCCCAGCAGATAACCATCCTTTGTGTGCAATGGGCATATATTTTATCAGTTGTAATGAGGTTGTACTAAACATGAAGAAATATTGTACTTTGTAGCAATACCAGGCTCATTAGAATTTTAAACTTGTTTATCTGTAGATTTTTCTTATTTCAATGTTAGAACATTTTGGGTCTTAATTGTACATTTAATTGCAAGTTCATCTAAAAAAAGTTCAGATCATATTTTACAATTCTGTGTTGAGCTGCATTCATTGTTCTTCCAAGATGAGTTAAAGGGCAATTTAAACTTAATATAGAGATTATTTAAAAACAATTGCATATGCTGGTATTTAGTTTGATGACCTGATCCAATGTAATAGTTTGCTCGTTAAAAGAATTATAGATACCGCATATAGAAATAAATTTTAGCTACCAAAGCAGGCAACCTGCACTTGGTAAGAAAAAGAAAGTAGCAGAATGTGACCTTTTTCTTAACAAATATTTGTGCTTTCAGTTTGAAATTAAAATTGTTAAAATTAACTTGTGCCAACTAAAATACAGCATTGTTTGTTGATAAAGTTAGTGAAAGGAATTAATGCAGCAGAATAGCAATATATTTTCTAAAATACATTTACTGAGCCAGTTTTTTCTTTCAGCCTAACCTGTAAATTTAGAGCCAGTTCAGTTTAGAGGTTTAAGGTGCTGGACTAGAAGCCAGGAAACCTGAGTTTTGTGCTGCTTTAGGGATAGAGGTCAGCCGAGAGTTTGGACTAGTCATTTTCCCTGGGCTCTAGGAAAAAGGCAGTGACAAATCACTTCTGAAAATACTTGTCCATGTAGTTGCCAGGAGTCAAGGCTGACTCAATTCATGCACTCCCCTGTAAATTAACAAGATCATCCCTTCATGCACGCTGCTTTTCATAGGCTACGTGATTGTTGATCCCGCCCAGAAGATTTACTTGGCAAAGATATATAATACTGGTAAGTGCTGGCAACCCGTTGCTAACCTCTGTCATGTTCTCTAAAAGCTGAGGATTCTGTTTGAGCACTTAGGTATATTTATATTTAATCGGTTTTGTCTTCAAGTTTGAAAACAATGGAGACTGAACAGCAAGAGGAGACCTTTACTAACACAGAGACAAATGGTAAGTTTATAAATGATAAAATAGTAAATTTACAATACTAATTATATAATAGGATTTCTTACGAAGGCCCATAACCATTACTGGAACTTGAAATATGCTCCCTGTATTTCAAGTGAGGGTTTAGGGATTAGTATAAATTTGTTTTGCTGTTAATTTTTCTTTTTGTAACATGTTCACAAAATCCTATTTGAGATTTAAGACACTACTAGAGCTTCATTTTCCCATCTTGATTAAAATTGAATTTAAAAGGCCAAAAATAGTTCATTTATTCATTTGAAATACTTCTCTTCCCCAATCCTAGAGAGCTTTGTCAATATTGTTTTGGTAATGGTGGTAAGGTATATGATAGATAAATAAAATATTGATGCATGAAATAAAAATACAGGTGTTTCCATGATTCTGTGCTGTTAAAAAGCAATTTTTGTAAACAGTTCATTCTTTTAAATATTAGGCAAACGACCAGCTGAAGATATAGAAGAGGAACAGGCCTTCAAAAGGTCAAGGAACACTGATGAGATGGTGGAATTGCGCATTCTGCTTCAGAGTAAAGTATGTTTATTTCCTAATTTACTGACCACATTGACCCTTATCTCCCCCTTAATTTATTCTTTATTGAAGCTATTTGGGAAACCTTAAAACTATTTCATAACATTTTTTTTTAGAATGCTGGAGCAGTAATTGGCAAAGGTGGCAAAAATATTAAAGCACTTCGTACAGACGTGAGTATTTACAAATTAAACCTTGATTATTTTGCAAAACGTGGCATTAATATATTTCTAGTAATGTATAATTTAAGTAATTGGTTAGTCCAAGCCATTTATAATCATCTTTAAACTCAAGTCTCACAATTAGTTCTTAGAATTAAGACATACCAAGTAATATGATGAGATCCCTATCCCTTATTTTACACTAACTTTGCAGAGTTATAGCATATTTAATTTTTTATACTTGAAAATTTGTTTAAAACAGTTGTTTTTAGAAGACATTACAGATTACTAATCTTTACTTAGGTATACAATGCATTTTGTGCACCAGGCTTATTTCTCTAATAGAGAAAGATTCGTATGAGTATTTTATATATAGAAACAGCATGGTAGCTACATTCTCATCTGGAAGGAATTTTAAGTGAATGTAACTTTAAATATATTTACACATTTTTAGTGGGTTGACTCTTGTGAATAGACACGTTTAGCATTATCTAAGCTTTATACTTTAGCACCAAACTTTGTAAAAAGCAGTATCTTTATTGTGCATAATCTTTTCAACATAGTAATCGTATTTAATGAATTATTTGGCACTACATTGTTTCACATTGTGTTTGATATTTTCATTATATTGTAAAATAAACTCTTGTAGAATGTTATAACCGTCAACTTTTAGTTACTAGATCTGAGGTATAAGCAAGAACTGGGTAGTAATCACTTGTACATTAACTGACCTTTCTGAAGCTAGTGTACTTAAAATTTCACATACCTAAATCCAGATTTCATACACACAATTCCTGGATTAGTAGTGGCTTTCCCTATTTCCCAGGATTTCAGTAAACTGAATCTCTACAGATCTTGTGTCTACCCTCATGAGCCAGCCTGCTACTGCAACTTTTAACGTTCATAGTAGTTTAGGCCAAGTAACTCATTATTACGGTCCATAACTGTTAAGCCACAGTAAATGTAGCTATCCGTTATTGTGTTAAGTCTTCAGAACAACTTAAGCTTGTAATGAGTATAGTTTGTATTAAATTAAAATTTATTGCTTTTCCCCCCTCTTCCCTCTCCTTGTTTTTTTGGCCATATATCTCTCCGTTGCCCATGTACTGGATCGACTTGCCCCTGCGTTGCCCACCATGACGTTGGCCCATCCGCCCCTGAACGCCCATGTGAAAACCCTGGTTGGCTATGCCCAAAAATGTGCTCGTTGCCAAACGGGTGCCTTACTTGACAACTTCTGATTGAATGCCCATGCCCATTGCCAACATCCACGAACGCCAATGACCAATGCAGTACAATGCCAGTGTTTCAGTCCCAGACAGCAGTGGCCCCGAGCGGTATGTCCCAACAGTTTATGCCTCACTGCCTGATTAGAAAGAGAGAAATGTATATTATTACCTGCCTTTTATATAATTAAATAGTATCCCCGTAGACGGTGTATTGTTTTTTAAGTTTTCTGTCTTATTTTCCCCATTAAGTCTTTTTGTCACTGAACTTATACGTGAGTTGCCCACCCAACAAACCACTAATTTTATTTCAATGGAAGGAGCACAGCTTCAATTGTATATTTTCTGCATTGTAAATCGGATTGTTTCAAAATAGTCTCTCGCTCTGCTCTGTCTTTGTGGCCCACCTTGCTCCCTC